GAGTGAGGGAGGACCCCTGAAGGAGCTCTGAAAACCACTTTATAAAACCAGTCTTTCATTTCCTCCTGAGAATCTCCACCGGTGTAGAAACCCAAATTCAAATAAAAAGTTTTGTGAGCCAAGATGTTGCAGGGAATAATTGAAAACCTTCTAAATGCTTTGGGCATAGGCAATTACATTGTAAGTAGACATGTAGGTAGTGTATCATCTACGCACCACGATACAGGTTACGTATGGATATTTACCATATATGTATACTGTACGTGCACGGATACACACCAGTGATTGGAATGTGCAGCATTTAAATTATTACAGTAAAAGGTACATTGCTGTTAACTCCCCTCAGCGTGCTCCCCCTTGCTTTGAACACTCTCGTGCCATCATTCTTGGCACTTTCTGAAGCAGCTCTGGAGTCCTCTTCCCTGTGCGTCTTCACAAGGTGTGATAAAAACTGCGGTGAACACTACTGCTTCTGAGCACCATCCAGTGGGAAAAAACCTGCTGCTGGGTCCTCATCCACCTTATTCACCAGGACCGGCCCCAGGTGACTTCTGGCTTCTCCCCAAAGTAAAGACAACCATGAGAAGTCAAGTTTTGAACTGATTCAGGACGTTGAGGAAGCCAGAACAGCACAACTAAACGAATTTTTCTCTCTGTATTTCCTATATTTATATTTGCATATTATTTTCATGGGCAGAAAATCTTTTTCATAAGAGATAATGTGTACTAGAAGGGAGTCAAAAGTCAGGGTGTTTGGCTTGTGTTCTTGCAATAGGAAAAGAAGAGTTGGCCGTGTAAGGCACAGAGCCATATTCCTTGTTACGTTTTCCAGAGAGAAAGCAGTGCGTAGCCTAAGCAAGCTGAAACAGACTTGGAAGCCAGGAACTTTTGAGCCCGGCTTAGCTTTGGGAGGGTCTGGAGAGGCTCATGTTCATGTGCATGTGTCAGTTTTCCTTTCCAGCGCCAAAGTTTGATATTCTTAGCCATTCTGATTGTGGGAGACTGAGACTGTCATTTGCTTCTCAAAGTCTTGACAGCTGGAAACATTCAGCTATCAGCAAATGAGGTAAAAATTATTTTATAATATAAAATCTCCTTGGGAAGAAAGTCCAGCAAAAACCATTATCAGGAGCTCACGCCTAGGCACCATTTTCAGCCCCTGCTCATGCTCCTGTGGGATTTATATCCAGCTGTGTCCACCAGAAGTGCTCCACGCCCTTCATTTATGTAAGTGTGTCCGTCAGTGTCTTGGTTATTCTTCTACTCATGCATAAGTGTATACCTCATAGCCTTCCTTTCCACATTGCTGTGCTGCAAAGCATGTCTGTTTTAAAAGAGTAAAGCGCCTATGGGCTGGGCTGGGGATTTAGCTCAGTGGTTCTGCAGCCTGCCTTGCAAGCACAAGGTTCCAAGTTCAATCCCTGGTACAAAAAAAAAAAAAAAAAA